GTGCCTTTGTACATAATTATGTTTTTACCATTTTCCTATCGAATTATGTGTGTACATAAACTGTTAAATAAATATTTCCTCATTAGTCCATATCGCCATGTTGAAACAATTTTATTAAGCCGACACTACAGTCTACTCCGACGCGTAACTATAAACTGAACACTCGGCCAACGTGTGAACACTGTTTGCGGCTTGCGCCAAATTCCTTTGATTTGTGCACGGAAAACCGACACTATACGGCTCGTCGACGAGCGTTGGCCGCAAACGCCAAATATATACAAAACGGCCCAGTACACGTTGGCCGAGCGCACTCGGCGAGCGCGCCCGGCCAACGTGTACTGGAGCCATAAGATGTTTTTAAAGTATACTCGTAGATACGTCATACTCGCTCTAAAATGGCAATACGAAAGTCAGGTAATGGCCCGACTCGCATTCAGTCGGGCACGGTCTTGCGTCGCGGCTATACCTTCGCTACAGCGCGTAAATCTTCTAGTTATTCCTGGCAAAAATACCTTCCTGTGTTTTTAGGTTGTTCACAAATTACACAGCAACTGTTAGAGACAAGAAAAGCGTCTCATTAATATTATGAATATAAGATGTTTTGTTCATAATCGATTTTATTATTTCAACACTAACCGCTAGTGTAAACTTTGACGCTAGCTAGTGTGTTCATTTTCTATATCGGTATGTCAAGCGCTCAGCAACAATCAATACGCAACTAATGATGTATATTCATCTTTTTCTAACGATAGGTATGCCCTATCATTTGTCTCTTTTTGTTAGCGCAACGTGTCATAATAAATAACTGTACGTAGATATAGTACTACCTGCGCCACTTTAAAATACATTAATGTTAGTGTGTAACCTGTCTATCTTTTTTAATACATCTTTGGGCACACATTGCCGACATTCATGTTTACTATGGAGTGGGATGAGGTGCCAGAGCTTCCCGCGCAGCTTACATAGCTGCGTTTCCTAACAGGCAACCAGTGCCATCTGCCCGCAATTTCCAGGAAGTTCACAGAAGGTTGTCGATCACTGGACTTGGATCAAGTAGAGAGATTGTATTAATTATCATCCCAAATAAACCATTCTTAAGAACAATAAATGGCGTGTTCGGAGTGCCATCTTTTAACACTTGATAGAAAATGTTATGATTAAGTTATATACATGCAATTTTTACTATTGTGTAGCTAATACGATGAAGAATAACTTAAAAAAGGTACCTAATACCAGCGTTTTATTGAGAAATTTTTCGTATATTGTAAAAATTTATGAAAAAAAAAACAGATTTTTGCACAAAATACGTGTTTATTTTCAATTGAGGGTATTTTTTTTCCATAACTTTTATTTTATGAGGACGTCCAATTACTCCCAATTATTATGGAGTTTGTTTCATCGCGACAGACCATTTACTTTAAAAGTTACATCGTTTTGTTTACACTGGGGTCACAGTAGCGAACAAAACTTTTAAAAATTCCATAAAAATAACATTTAGATTTTTTGACTACTTTTTCCGTCGATAAAATTAAGCATAGATTTCATCATTTCGATATGGTTACTTCGCCTACGCGGATCCCAGATGTGGAAGACCATGTACCTTCCCTGTTGGACCTTCTACTGACCTCTCATCCGGACGGATATCAGGTCTCCGTCGATGCACCTCTGGGCTCTTCGGACCATTGTCTGATCCGGAGCACGGTGCCACTCACGCTCCAATCGCAGTTGCGATCTGCAGCTTGCCGCCGTGTTTGGCACTATAGGTCAGCTGATTGGGACGGGATGCGGTCTTTTTTTGCATCCTACCCTTGGGGGCGGGTTTGCTTCTCGCCGGAAGATCCCAGCGTTGTTGCCGATTCTGTTGCTGATGTGGTACTTCAGGGTATGGAACTTTTTATTCCATCCTCTGTGGTGCCCATCGGAGGCAGATCCCAGCCATGGTTTGGTCGCTCCTGTAAAATAGCATCACGCTATAAGCAGGAGTGCTACCGGGCCTGGGCTGATGCATCAACGTCTCGGGATTTAAACACCAGCGCACTTAAAAAGAAGTATAATTCCGCCTCCAGGTCCTTCAAAAGCGTCATTGCCAAGGCAAGGTCTGAGCACATCGGCAAAATTGGCGAGAAGCTAGTTCGCCTTCCTTCGGGAACCCGTGCATTCTGGTCTCTCGCCAAGGCTGTCCAAGGGAACTTCTGTCAGCCATCCCTTCCATCTCTGCACAGAGAGGACGACTCACTGGCCCATGCCGCAAAAGAGAAAGCCGATCTGTTGTGCTCTCTTTTTGCGTCTAACTCGACTCTAGATGACGGGGGGAACACACTGCCGACCATCCCGCGATGTGAGTGCTCCATGCCGGATGTACGATTTACACAGCGCTCGGTTCGCAAAGCACTCTTCTCCCTGGACGTCAGCAAGTCGAGTGGGCCCGATGGAGTCCCTCCCATTGTCCTGAAGACGTGTGCTCCGGAGTTGGCACCGGTTTTAACGCGTCTTTTCCGGTACTCCTACTCCCAAGGCGTAGTCCCGATTTCATGGAAGACAGCTTTGGTCCACCCGATCCCTAAAAAAGGCGACCGCTCAGACCCGTCCAACTACAGGCCTATCGCTATCACCTCCTTGTTCTCCAAAATAATGGAATCCATTATAAACTGCCAGCTCATGAGGTACCTTGAAGATCACCAGCTGATCAGTGACCGTCAGTACGGTTTTCGTCGGGGTCGATCAGCGGGTGATCTTCTAGTTTACTTAACTCATAGATGGGCGGAGGCAGTAGAGTCCAAGGGGGAGGCATTGGCCGTTAGTTTGGACATAGCGAAGGCCTTCGATCGGGTCTGGCACAAGGCGCTTCTTTCGAAGCTGCCTTCCTATGGGCTTCCCGAGAAATTGTGCAAATGGATCACCAGTTTCCTTGCTGATCGGAGCATCAAGGTCGTAGTAGACGGTGCATGCTCTGATTACAAGCCAATCAACGCTGATGTTCCACAAGGCTGCGTGCTATCACCAACGCTGTTTCTCCTGCATATCAATGATATGTTGCTAACTGGTAGCATTCATTGCTATGCAGACGACAGCACTGGGGATGCCTTATATACCGGCCGTGCCAATATTTCTCGGGAAAACGTCGCCGAGTACCGGGACAAACTTGTGTCTGAAGTCGAGTCTTTGCTTAACAAAGGCTCGGATTGGGGCCGACTAAATCTAGTCCAGTTCAATCCCCAGAAGATACAAGTTTGCGCGTTTACCGCTAAAAAGAACCCCTTTGTCGTATCTCCTCAGTTTCAAGGCACTCCCCTTGCTGCCTCAGCCAGTATCGGAATCCTTGGCGTCGACATATCGAATAGCGTGCAGTTTCGTGGTCACTTGGAAGGGAAGGCCAAATTGGCCTCTAAAAAGCTTGGCGTGCTCAGCAGAGCGAGACAGTATTTCATGCCGGCACATCGCTTGCAACTTTACAAAGCGCAAGTTCGGCCCCACATGGAATACTGTTCTCATCTCTGGGCCGGGGCACCCCAGTGCCAGCTCCTTCCACTTGACCGCATCCAGCGCAGAGCGATTCGAATCGTCGACGACCGAGTTCTTTCCGATCAGCTCGATACACTGGCACTGCGTAGAGATGTTGCATCTCTTTGCGTATTTTATCGCATCTATCACGGGGAGTGCTCTGAGGAATTGTACGGACTAATTCCAGCCGCTCAATTTCACCATCGCACGTCGCGACAAAACTCGCGTTACCATCCGTACCATCTGGATGATTGGTGGTCCACCACTGTGCGATTTAGAAGAAGTTTTCTCCCTCGCACAACTTCTTTGTGGAATCAATTACCACCAGCGAATTTTCCGAACCGATACGACTTAGGAACCTTCAAGAAAAGAGCTTACACCTTTCTAAAAGGCCGGCAACGCATCTGCAATTCCCCTGGTGTTGCGGTTGTTCATGGGCGGCGGTAGTCACTTACCATCAGGTGAGCCGCAAGCTCGTTTGCCCCCTATTCTATAAAAAAAAAAATGTGTACATTATAAAGTCTCACAGTGTATTAGGCAAGGTATGGAAGAAAAAAAGATAACAATTCTGTCAAATTTGGTCTGTCTCGATATTTTTGCTGCCTATTACCGCTGCTGTAAGCAAACGATACAGTAATCCACTCACGACGGCGGCCGAGCCCGAAGTGCGAGTGAGCTGTGACGCAATGTGTATTTAGTATTAACAGTGGTAGAGCCACGCGGCAGCTTTTGCTATCGCACGGATGGGCCGGCTCGAACCGGGGTAGTACCACGACCTCACAGAAAACCAGCGTGAAGTAGAGGTTTACCTCTGCATTTCGCTTGGTGAGTGCAGGTGGCCGGAGGCCCTTTTTACCGGAAATGAGGCATTCCATCTTAGTCCTCACGGGTGACAACGCATCTACATTTTGATTTGTAACAGAGGATAGATGTAGATGTCTATGGGCCGCAGCAACCACTTACCATCAGGTGGACTGTGTGCTCGTTTGTCACCCTTATCCTATAAAAAAAAAAAATAGTAAAACAAATTATGACAAGGCTCTTCCACCGAAAGTTTCGGCATTTCTCAGCCGAAAAAAATTAATTATAACTAAACAAAACAATATTATACTGCCATTTACATTCCATGGCTTCCCACATGATAAATGAAAATATTAAAAAATAGATTGAGTTGAACAATTGATATTTTCAAAGGTTATCGTGTTTACCCTTCCATGCAGACTTGATAAATCTACACCATAAGCCACTAAAACCACTTTTTTACAACAACAATCATTTATCTTTCTGACGATGTGCTTTTTATCTGATTTCATGCGACATAACATTGGAATCTTGATTTTTAGGCTCTAGTAAAACATACCTACGCGCCTACCTTTGCGCTTAAGGCGTGCAATAATCACCAGTTTAACAGTGTGTTTTATTACGTCATTTAAATATAACAATTTAAAGAAAGGTTAAGGTTTATTATGATAGCAATTGAATTAGGTTCATTATCCTAGGGAGAAATTGAAACTCAAGGCACCTTTGAAGAAGTATCCCGCTCACCGTTGTTCGAGGAACTGCTAGAGGAAGATGAACAATCCGAGGCTGAAGACAATAACACCGCGAAGGGGCGCACACAACTTCTAAGACAGCGTACTATGTCAATAAAGGTATAATAGAACTCATTAAGAACTATGTACCTGTTTCGATTCCTTTATATCTAATTTTGCTTCTACAATACTTAAAAGAATAGCAAACATATAATTTTAAGTTTATTGATATACCATTTTTCATACTATATATAACTGCTGTAGTCCAATCGCATTCGAAATTAGCATCAAAAAGTTTCGTTGAACATTACGTAAATTACGTATTATGATATCGGATCCGATTGAAAGATTTTCTCTAGGACGTTTTTTATATCTAAATTATGGTACTAAAGAGTAACAAATGTAAGTACAGTGCAATTATGACGAGAACTGACGGTGCGATGCTAGTTAGGAGGGTAGCTTAGGAGAGGGATTTCGAACTAACAAATATGAATAACGTCGTGAGCTTGTTGCGACCGAGCTCTTAAACGATTTTTGGTCGAGAAAGCTGCTCTGGCAAATCATCCGATAAGTGAACAAAGAAATGGTGGTGGGAAAGTAAAATAAATAAAATTTGTGTGGCAATTTTAATATACTGAGAAAATCACCTTCTATTGGTTTAAGACCAGCGAGGTCGTTACTGTCACCGATAATATTTTTTTAAATTTATATAACATTTTGTAACTAACCCTTTTTATGCAGTCGTACACCAGTGTCAATAGTACGGTTGCGGAATATGGCAATGAAAATGAGGAAGAACCCGAAGAAACCGCCGAGCTTATGGAAAAAGGTAGATGGAATAAGTATACCAACTTAATGACACATAAATTTACTACATGGTACCGCCAAGGTTTCCGAATATTTAACTCAATTATCTATCTTGTTGTCATTTTAAAAATATCACGTGCAATCACTGATTTTTTTTAATAAAACTATTTTTGCACAACAACTATTCTCATAATCCAAAGTACACTTTTTACCATAAGCTTAGAGAATATATTTAAGGTGTTAAAAATTAATATAGACGAGTTTATAAATTCTATTTCTGTAAATAAAAAAAATATGTAAAAAACCTATCGATAGGTATATATGACTTCGTTCACACATAATTTTTGTTAGTAATTTATTTGTTTTGAAGTTTTATTACTTTGGGCCTTATTGATTATATTTTATAAACTACACCACCGTTCCAACTCAAACAGTAATAGCATAGATATTTTTATTCTTATAAAGTGTAATTCATTACGATGAGTATTTCGTGTCTACTATGAAACCTGGCAACTTTGCCATTTTGGGAATGGCTTAAAAGTTTAAGACCAATTTTACAACCAAAAATGTATTGTCTGACTGGGCGTCAATATTGAATAGATGTGGTATTTGTCAGTGATTTAAACAAATACTAACATTCAATAGACAAAATACTCAAAAATAAAAAATGGCAAAGTTAAACTCACTTTGTGGCCACTTTGTCCTCTGGGTTTATAATGAAAATAAAAGGATTTGACTTCAAGGGTGAAGGTTACCTCATAATATAATACACAATTGTGTTGCAAATAGCAAAGTTTACGCTTGTGGCTAACTTGCCCTCCCATTTTTCAGTTTTTCATACATTTTTGAAAATATATGTCAGGGTTGTCAAAAATCCTTGATTACGTACTTTTCTTATTTTTTTTTAATTTAAATCTTGTCACTATAATTTCGTAAGCAAAAATTTAAAATATTAATGTTGGAATTTTTTTAAATCTAAATATATCAAATAAATATTTATAATCTAAAAGATATCAAACAAAAATACTCTCGTCTAAAATTTAAAATGAATTTGGTGCAATAATAAGCTTAAATCAATTATAGTATTGATAAAAAAATAGCTTGTCACAATCATTTTAACAAGTATTCGTTTTTTTATTAGTCATCATCATCAATTATTTTTTTATCTGATATCATTTTATTACGGGTCGTATCAGGTAATCAATCTAAATATTGTTTTCCCAGAATAGCAAAACTTGCACAATTACTAAAAATGGCAATGTTTTTTTGGGTGCAAATTAATATCAGTACACTAAGTTGAAATTATGAATAATTTAAAATTAAAAATTTTGTACAACCGACATCAATATAAATTATTAAGAATAACTCAAAACCTATTGGTCAGACCTTGATCAAATTTATATGAGACCACATGAGAAGCACCAGCTTTCAAATAAAAAAAGAATCATCGACATCGGTTCACCCAGAAAAAAGTTTTGAGGTAACACATAAAAAAAGAACATACAGTCGAATTGAGTACCGTCGTCTCCTTTTTGAAGTCGGTAGAAAATACTGAGTAGTAATAATATTATGAATGACCGACAAATCAGTAAAAATAATACATATAATGTAAAGTATAGAACCCTTTCTTTAAATAGTTGTTATCGGTTAAAAATATGGGTTGAAAGTGACGACCTTTGGTTGTATCAAAATATGGCAAAGTAACATCGTGACATCACTAGTATGGTAACTTTGCTAACTTAGTTTAAGTGTTAAGACGAACATTAAAAACGGTGTAATATTACATTTGATAACCATTATTATTACGCTACTACAAAGATATAGATATCTACAATCAGTATTTCAAACAAAATCAACAAAAGTTCTGGAGCACCGAACAAAGAGGTTATTTCGCCGGCAGAATTCCGCGTTAAAATAAAATGCCGAAATTAACGCTTAGGTTGCCATATCGAAAGCAATGCTGTCAATTAGTTATTGTTTCATGCAAAAAATGGCATATCTCGAAAAATTTACGTTTTCCGTGTTAATCGTAATTTTGTACCAGTACACCCCTGATGGCAAAATTAACTTCCATTGGTATAGTTGCCGGACTTGACTGTATGTGTATCTAAATTACAAATAAGTTACAACACACTACAAGTATTAGCCGATATGAACTTACAAGCTTGCAACCGTCAATCGGATACTGAAAACATCTCTTAGTTTAAGAGGCCTATGTCCATCCTGGTCATACTTCTTGCCACATATTTACCTTAGTTGCCTTTATGCCCATAGGGTGTAATATGGTGATTGGTTCTTTTACTTCGCCACAACTCAATGGCAGCAGGTTTGATGGAGTTTCTGCAACTCAGAATTATAATGTATAATGTAATATAGGGCGCGTGTCTGGTTCCGTGTACGTGAAGTACTTCCGTGCGGGCGGCGGCTGGGCGCTGCTAGCTCTCGCGCTCGTGTCCATTTTACTGGCACAGGTTGTAACCTCCATCAGCGACCTCTGGCTCACGCATTGGTAATATTCTATTTTTAATTTATTGTTATTTTTTGATTTTACGTTTTAGTATTTCCTAAGCATACAATAAAATTGTTTTCTTGTAAAAATACCTACCTAAGAGTTCGGAAAATAATGAAGTTATATAATGTAATATATAATTTATTTTTTAAGTAAAATATTTGTATTAATTAAAGTAATTATTCTATCTAATCATTTCTTATATTTACGCGAACACTACACATTTAAATAAAACTAGTTTTACGGATTTTGTCGCGTATATTAACTTATTTTATATTCCCTATATTACTAAGCTCGAAGTTGTTGACGAATATGTTTACCTGGGACAAATAGTCCGACTAGGTAAGTCCAACTTCGACCGAGAGGTCAATCGACGGATTCAACACGGCTGGGCAGCGTTCGGGAAACTACGACATATCTTCTCGTCAGACATTCCTCAAAACCTTAAAACGAAATTATACAACCAGTGCGTGTTGCCAGTGATGACTTACGGATCTGAGACGTGGACCTTCACTGCTGGTCGTATGAGGAAGCTCAAGGTCGCTCAGCGAGCTATGGAGAGGGCTATGCTCGGAGTTTCTCTGCGTGATAAACTTAGAAATGAGGATATCCGAAGTAGAATCAGAGTGACCGACATAGCCCAACGGATTAGTAAGCTGAAGTGGCAGTGGGCCGGCCATATAGCTCGAAGAATCGACAACCGATGGGGAAGAAAGGTTCTTGAGTGGCAGCCTCGTAGCGGTAGGCGAAGTGTAGGGCGATCTCTCACGAGATGGACTGACGACCTTGTAAGACATGCAGGAAGTCGATGGATGCACCTGCATCCATCGACTTCCTGCATCCATCGGCTCAGGACCGTGCTTTGTGGCATTCCTTGGGGGAGGCCTATGTTCAGCAGTGGACTTATGAAAGGCTGTAATGATGATATTCCTGACGTTTCGAGTACTTTACAGCAGCCATGCATCCTAGCCTTGGGGGCGGGTTTGTTTCTCGCCGGAAGATCCCAGCGTTGTTGCCGATTCTGTTGCTGATGTGGTAATTCAGGGTATGGAACTTTTTATTCCATCCTCTGTGGTGCCCATCGGAGGCAGATCTCAGCCATGGTTTGGTCGCTCCTGTAAAATAGCATCACGCTATAAGCAGGAGTGCTACCGGGCCTGGGCTGACGCATCAACGTATCGGGATGTAAACACCAGCGCACTTAAAAAGAAGTATAATTCCGCCTCCAGGTCCTTCAAAAGTGTCATTGCCAAGGCAAGGTCTGAACACATTGGCAGGATTGGCGAGAAGCTAGTTCGTCTTCCTTCGGGAACCCGTGCATTCTTGTCTCTCGCCAAGGCTGTCCAAGGGAACTTCTGTCAGCCATCTCTTCCATCTCAGCACAGAGAGGACGACTCACTGGCCCATGCCGCAAAAGAGAAAGCCGATCTGTTGTGCTCTCTTTTTGCGTCTAACTCGACTCTAGATGACGGGGGGAACACATCGCCGACCATCCCGCGATGTGAGTGCTCCATGCCGGATGTGCGGTTTACACAGCGCTCGGTTCGCAAAGCACTCTTCTCGCTGGACGTCAGCAAGTCGAGTGGGCCTGATGGAGTCCCTCCTATTGAGCTGAAGATGTGTGCTCCGGAGTTGGCACCGGTTTTAACGCGTCTTTTCCGGTACTCCTACTCCCAAGGCGTAGTCCCGAATTCATGGAAGACAGCTTTGGTCCACCCGATCCCTAAAAAAGGCGACCGCTCAGACCCGTTCAACTACAGGCCTATCGCTATCACCTCCTTGTTCTCCAAAATAATGGAATCCATTATAAACTGTCAGCTCATGAGGTACCTTGAGGATCACCAGCTGATCAGTGACCGCCAGTACGGTTTTCGTCGGGGTCGATCAGCAGGTGATCTTCTAGTTTACAAGTACAAGTAGAGTACAAGGGGGAGGCATTGGCCGTTAGTTTGGACATAGCGAAGGCCTTCGATCGGGTCTGGCACAAGGCGCTTCTTTCGAAGCTTCCTTCCTATGGGCTTCCCGAGAAATTGTGCAAATGGATCACCAGTTTCCTTGATGATCGGAGCATCAAGGTCGTAGTAGACGGTGCATGCTCTGATTTCAAGCCAATTAACGCTGGTGTTCCACAAGGCATGCGGCTCATCTGATGGTAAGTGGCTATCGCCGCCCATGAACAACTGCAACACCAGGGAGGGAATTGCAGATGCGTTGCCGGCCTTTTAAAAAGGAGTACGCTCTTTTCTTGAAGGTCCCTAAGTCGTATCGGTCCGGAAAAATCGCTGATGGTAATCGATTCCACAAGGAAGTCGTGCGAGGAAGAAAACATCTTCTAAATCGCACAGTGGTGGACCGCCAATCATCCAGATGGTGTGGATGGTATCGGGAGTTCTGCCGCGATATGCGTTCGTGAAATTTGGCGGCTGGGATTAATCCGAACAATTCCTCAGAGCACTCCCCATGGTAGATGCGAAAGAAAATGCAAAGGGATGCAACATCTCTTCGCAGTGCCAATGAATCGAGCCGATCGGAAAGGGCTCGGTCGTCGACGATTCGAGCCGCTCTGCGTTGGATGCGGTCAAGTGGAAGGAGCTGGCACTGGGGAGCCCCTGCCCAGAGATGGGAACAGTATTCCATGTGAGGCCGAACCTGCGCCTTGTAAAGTTGCAGGCGTTGAGCCGGCATGAAATACTGTCCCGCTCTGCTGAGCACGACAAGCTTTTTAGAGGCCAATTTGGCCTTCTCTTCCAAGTGACCACGAAACTGCACGTCACTCGATATGTCGACTCCGAGGATACCGATACTGGCTGAGGCAAGAAGTCTGCCTTGAAACTGAGGAGATACGACAAAGGGGTTCTTTTTAGCGGTAAACGCGCAAACTTGTGTCTTCTGAGGATTAAACTGGACTAGATTTAGTCGCCCCCAATCCGAGACTTTTTCCAGCAAAGACTCGACTTCAGACACAAGTTTGTTCCGGTACTCGGCGACGTTTTCCCGAGAAATATTGGCACGGCCGGTGTATAGAGCATCACCAGTGCTGTCATCCGCATAGCAATGAATGTTACCAGTTAGCAACATATCATTGATATGTAGAAGAGACAGCGTTGGTGATAGCACATAGTTTACTATCCTGGTCACATAAATTTTATATTTTTTATAGATGGCCTCATTTCTATAGAGCGGGAGAGGGGGGGGGGGGAGGAGGTTCGTTACAGTATCAAAAACGTATCGTCTACTTAACAAACAGTTTCGTGACCGTATCATCCCCGTTCAATATGTCTACGACTATTTGTACTTCATTTTGTTCAGAAGGACGCGTCAGAAAGAACTTAGCATTAAGCTGCTATTTTACGCTGGTATTCTGTGAGAGCGTGGTCATTCCCCGGTCGAGCCGACCCATACGTGCTACATCTATACTATTAATATAGCTGCAGCATGGCTCTACCACGTAACGAATTTGTTTCCCTCTGTCACCTTTTACGATACCCACGGGATAATATGGGGTAGCGGATGGAGTGTTTTTGTTTTAAAATTATTATTTTCATTTAAATACCTATACGGTAGCTAATAGAAAATTATCTGTAACAATAGTTGCAAACATAAATTCTTTGAAGAAAAAGAATGATTAATAACAGCTTAATATCGGATGAACACATAATATATTTTATTTTTAAGTACATATAATAAAACATATTGTTATTTTTGGAAACCTTACAAGGGGTAGGAGGTTGTTAAATTTCGCTATTGTCGATTATTTTGCGTGTAGGGAATCCTAAATGTGATGGTACCTAATTGTGTTTCATATTTCACTCTAAACTGTGTCAAAAAAAGAAGATCATTGATGTGTTTTTAGAGAGTCTATTCATAGTTGGCCTGACAACTCATTGGCACAAGTATGCTGATAAGACATAATATACCACACATCATTGTAGCTCCTTGTGTTGAATGTATTTTATTATATATGGCAGTTTCGTAATATGTAAATAAAGTAAAATACAAAATAATTACGAGGATAGGAATTAAGCCTGAAAGACTTGTTATTATCGTTTTGTAAGACAATTATTTAAGTTACCTTGTTTCTTTTATAGCGGTACGAAACTAAGTGGTTGCTGTGGCTCATAGACATCTACATTTATCCTCAATTACGAATCAAAATGCAGATGCGTTGTAACCCATGAGGACTAAGATGGAATGCTTCGTTTCCAGTAAAAAGGGTCTCCGGTTGGTTCTTTACACTCACCATACGAAACACTGTAGCGTTTAGCTGCTATTTTATGCTGCTATTCTGTGAGATGTGAGAGCGTGGTCCTTCCCCGGTCGAGCCGACCCATTCGTGCTACAACTATACTACTAACATAGCTGCAGCATAGCTCTACTACGTAAAAAAATAATATGATATGGGTTAAATAATAAATATTATTTAATTAAATTAATTGCTAATTAGGATGAACGACGTGGAAGCGAAACACTTACGATTCGAAGACGAGAAATCCAATGCTTATTACACGATCACCAACAACGAGACAAACGTAATCAACGAGACATCAGAATCACTAATCGTGGATGATACAACCACAAACCAAGTTTCACCAACAACAATGAATCCAAACCTTACCGTCATAGGCACAATGGTTAAAACAGCACTAACTATACAGAATATTACTTCGGGGGAGGAACCATTAGACCATTCTTTTTATATCTACATTTGGGCGGGCGCTATACTTGGATGCATATTGCTTACAACTGAAAGGTCAGTACCGCTTGTTTTTTTTCTTATTAATTTTACGCGTTAAAATTAATGGGCTGTTTGCTTGGACCCAATATTACACAGAATATTTGCGCCAAAACTACACGTTTAAGAAATTGTATGGAATTAACAGTTAATGACGCCATGGTTGCTTGTAGTCAAATAAACAACAATTTTTATATTTTTAAATAATAACAATAAATTGTGAGATTACATTCATAGCTTGACATGGGCATCTCCCGTTTAGACTTAAAATTTAAAATTCAAAACCAGTTAACTTCTTACTTCGAATCGGATGGAACCTCTTCGACGTTTCCTGGCCATACCGCGACTTGTAGTATGTCCTAGTCTAGCAGCTTGAGACACCTATGTCGCGGTGAGAGGTTCAGCATCGCATCGCAGCCGGAGTCACCCATGTATAATCCATGACTGATTTTTACCCCCGTTACGTTCGCAAGCTCGAGATCTAGGTCGCCCGCCCATCTTATGACTGAATCTCTCTTGGCATTGTCTTGACTTGGCAGCAACTCTACAACCGGCTGTCTAAAGGTCCCTTCACTCCTCAATGTACAGGGTGGGCCAAGAATTCGTTAACATTTAAATGTAACTTACCGCGCAAACTATTGCCGCGCGAGGCGCGGGCGCGGGCGGGGGCACTAGCTCGCTTCTTGGAAATTGAGTCGCAATGGATCGCTTCACGGGGCCGCAACGCGCTTACTGCGTGAAACAGTTTTATTTAAACGACTTTTCGCTCATTACTGTGAGACGCTTATTTCGTGTTGAATATGGTTTACACGACTTAAGTCAGTGTCCAAGTGCTCCTTTAATAAAGAAATGGGTGAAGAAGTTCGAAGAGACGGGATCTACACTAAATGTGAAACAAACCGGCGGCCCACGGACTTCTCGGAGCGAAGAGAACGTGCAGCAAGTTTCCGCTTCTGTTCGACGTGATCCAGATTTATCGACACGCAAACGTTCGGCTGAATTAGGATTATCCCGCACATCATTACGCCGTATTTTGAAATTAGATTTGAAATTACATCCATATAAGATCCAGCTAGTGCAAGAACTAAACCCTAATGATTTAAATTTGCGTAAGTCATATGCCGAAACAATGTTCACTCGTTTCAGTAATTTTCACAACATCTTATTTTCTGACGAAGCCCATTTCCACCTAAATGGACATGTAAACAAACAGAATTGCAGGTATTGGAGCAGCGAAAATCCTAAAGCTAAACATGAGAGACCACTTCACTCTCCTAAGGTAACTGTATGGGCTGCAATTTCAGCAAAAGGAATCATCGGACCTTACTTTTTTGAAGATTCTCGAGGCCGTTCAGTTACTGTTAATTCTGCCAAGTATGTGAAAATGTTACGGGAGTTCTTAGCACCGATGCTACTGGAATTTGCTGGCTATAATCGTAACACATGGTTCCAACAAGATGGAGCCACGTGTCACACATCGAACGAGTCCTTGCCGGTGCTCAAAGACATGTTTCCGGAAAAGCTGATATCCAGACGGGGTGACATCCCATGGCCACCCAGAAGTCCAGATCTATCCCCAGCAGACTTCTTTTATGGGGTTATTTAAAGAGTCGTGTCTTCATTGATAAATCGAATACACTGCGTCAACTTAAAGAAAAAATCATCGAAGAGATGTCGGCGATTTCGCGGTCTCTTTGCAGAAGAGTATTCGAAAACTTCAGGACTCGCTTAGATGAGTGCAAAAACCGAAACGGTGGTCATTTAGACGAAATAATTTAAAAAAAATAAATTACAACTAATTAGCTTTCTCGTAAATAAACGATTTCTAAAATATGTTAAATGGTTTTTTTATACGATTTTTTCAAATGTTAACTAATTCATGGCCCAGCCTGTACCTAGTTCGTTTTAGTGAAACAGTAGAACTCACTTGTTCTTTTTCTGCATTTATGATGTCATTATAATAGAAAGCATTCGTTTGACAGGCAGGCTATAGACTTAAATATAAGATGTTTTGTGTTCAATATGATGCTAAAATTATCATTATTTATACTGGGATATAATGTCTGTAACAAAAATCCCTCTATTATGAATTGTGGTGCTTGTTTATTCATCGATCTATTATTATAGATTAGTAAGATGGGAAATTTGGGAAACTCGTATTAATTCACACATTCTTTATTTATATTTTGGGTATTTTACCTATGAGATAGTGTATTACATTGTTCATTAAATCATCAATGAAATTATACAAAAACACAACAATCTCAAGTAACTTACGAGACTACGTCCAGTTAGTAGTAGCTAATATTTATAATTTAATGTATTTGAAATGAAGTAATTTTATTAGTAATAATATTTCACAATTATTTCAGATCTCTGCTGTTTCTTTGGATATGCATGCGCGGTTCTATAAAGTTGCACAATTTAATGTTTAGTAACATTCTGGCGGCCACAATGCGCTTCTTTGACACTAACCCATCAGGACGAATTCTAAACCGATTTTCCAAAGACATGGGCATTGTTGATGAGATATTACCGAGAATGATCTTGGACAGTTTGCAGGTAACGTTATATTATAACTATAAGCTTTAGATTATAGTTATAATTTTAGTAGTCTGTACATGTATTGAATAAAACAAATTTTAACGGATTTAATCGTGTTATTTTCTAATCTCGACGTTTCAAGTATTTCGCTGTTCCCAAGCTCGTCGGTGATGTGCGAACTGTGATAAAATCCGTAAAAATTAGTTTTACTCATGATTTTTATATTTTTGTCAACAACGGTGGTAGAGCCACGCAGCAGCTTTTGCTGTTGCACGTATGGGCCGGCTCGAGCCGGGTTAGTACCACGACCTCACAGAATACCGGCGTGAAGTGGAAGCTCTGCTTCAGCGTTTCGTCTGGTGAGTGCAGGTGACCGGAGGCCCAATTCCCCGCCCCCCCATCAACATGGTAGCGGAATTACGTCATAAACTACCCCAGGAGGGTACCAGTACCCCCGGAGAATCCCTCGCTGAGCATCCACGACCATGTTATTCCACTCCTGAGCGTGGGTGCTCAGACTGCCCCGCGTATTTGGGGGGGGGGGGGGGGGCAAAATTCCGCTCAATACAATAACTGCTCGGGGCAAACTGAGCAACAAGACCAAGGCGACCCCTGCCACGCTATCCGTGAATTTCTGCAACATCAGGGGACTTCACTCGAACCTAAACGCCGTCCACTACCATCTTGAGACGGCGAAGCCGGCCTTGCTCTTTCTGACCGAGACGCAGGTGTCCTCTCCGGCTGATACTTCGTATCTCTCCTACCCGGGGTACAAATTGGAGCACTCCTTTGTGCATCGGGCTGGAGTTTGCGTGTATGTCAGAGAGGACATCTGTTCTCGACGCCTCGGCAGTCTTGAAGGTTCGGACCTGTCCATCCTTTGGCTACGCGTAGACAGCGACGACCATCCGCGCGTCTACGTGTGCCTCTATAGGTCCCCATAGCGGTAATGCCGAAACAGACCGACTCATCGACCACGTCCAAATGGCTACAGATTCCTTGCTACAACAGGTCCCATCCGCAGAGATCGTGATCCTTGGCGATTTTAACGCCCACCACGCCGAATGGCTCGGTTCACGTTTAACCGATCATGCGGGGAGATCTGTTTATGACTTTGCCTTGGCATATGGTCTGACACAACTGGTTACATCGCCTACGCGGATTCCAGATGTTGAGAATCATACACCTTCCCTGTTGGACCTTCTGCTGACCTCTCATCCGGACGGATATCAGGTTTCCGTCGATGCCCCTCTTGGCTCTTCGGACCATTGTCTGATCCGGAGTGTGGTGCCACTCACGCTCCCCTCACGGTTGCGTCCTGCAGGTTGCCGCCGTGTTTGGCATTACAGGTCGGCGGATTGGGACGGAATGCGGTCTTTCTTTGCTTCTTACCCATGGGGGCGGGTTTGCTTCTCGCCGGATGATCCCAGCGCTGTTGCTGACTCTGTAACTGTTGTGGTGCTACAGGGAATGGAACTATTTATTCCATCATCTGTGGTACCCATCGGAGGCAGATCTCAGCCTTGGTTTGGTCGCTCCTGTAAGACTGCTTACCGCAGTAAACAGGAGTGTTATCAAGCCTGGGCTGCGGCTTCGGCGACTCGGGATGTAAACACCAGCATACTTAAAAAGAAGTGTAACTTCGTCTCCAGGTCCTTCAAAAGAGTTATTGCCAAGGCAAAGTCAGAGCACATAGGTAGAATTGGCGAGAAACTAGTTCGCCTTCCTTCGGGAACCCGTGCATTCTGATCTCTCGCCAAGGCTGTCCAAGGGAATTTCTGTAAGCCATCACTACCATCTCTGCACAGGGAGAACGACTCACTGGCCCACGACGCAAAAGAGAAGGCCGACCTTTTAGGCTCCCTTTTTGCGTTCAACTCGACTGTTGATGACGGGGGGAACACACCGCCGACCATCCCGCGGTGTGAGTGCTCCATGCCGGATGTGCGGTTCTCACAGCGCTCGGTTCGCAGAGCACTGCTCTCCCTTGACATCCACAAGTCGAGTGGGCCTGACGGAATCCCCCCAATTGTGCTGAGGACGTGTACTCCGGAGTTGGCACCGGTTCTAACGCGTTTTTTCCGGTACTCCTACTCCATAGGCGTAGTCCCGAAATCATGGAAGACAGCTTTTGTCCACCCGATCCCTAAAAAAGGCGACCGCGCAGACCCGTCTAACTACAGGCCTATCGCCATCACCGCCTTGTTCTCCAAAATAATGGAATCCGTTATAAACTGCCACCTCATGCGGTACCTTGAGGATCACCAGCTGATTAGTGACCGCCAGTACGGTTTTCGTCGGGGTCGATCAGCTGGTGATCTTCTCGTCTACTTAACTCATAGATGGGCGGAGGCAGTAGAGTCCAAGGGGGAGGCATTGGCCGTTAGTTTGGACATTGCGAAGGCCTTCGATCGGGTTTGGCACAAAGCGCTTCTTTCAAAGCTCCCTTCCTATGGGCTTCCCGAGAAATTATGCAATTGGATCACCAGCTTTCTTGCAGATCGGAGCATCAAGGTCGTTGTAGACGGTGCATGCTCCGACTACAAGCCTATTAACGCTGGTGTTCCACAAGGCTGCGTGCTATCACCAACGCTGTTTCTTCTGCATATCAATGATATGTCGTAAGCCGGTAGCATTCATTGCTATGCGGATGACAGCACTGGTGATGCTCTATACACCGGCCGTGCCAATATTTCTCGGGAAAACGTCACCGAGTACCGGAACAAACTTGTTGTGTCTGAAGTCGAGTCTTTGCTGGACAAAGTCTCGGATTGGGGGCGACTAAATCTAGTCCAGTTTAATCCTCAGAAGACACAAGTTTGCGCGTTTACCGCTAAAAAGAACCCCTTTGTCGTATCTCCTCAGTTTCAAGGTACTCCCCTTGTTGCCTCAGCCAGTATCGGAATCCTCGGCGTCGACATATCGAGTAACGTGCAGTTTTGTGGTCACTTGGAAGAGAACCGTGTAGTGGCGGTCAAAAATATCCACTACCCCATATCCTCCCGTGGGTGTCGTAAAAGGCGACAAAGGGAAACAGGCAGGAGATGGGCAGCAGCATCTTCTTGATAACAACAAACTAACAATAAAAAAACTGCGATTGCCAACCCGCTCGCCAAGCGTGGCAACTATGGCAAATACCCCCCTATGAATGACAGTAACAAAGAAACGGCCCCCAGTCCCCGACGGCCCCGCTATTCCTGGCTACGGTGGCGACCATGGTAACGGCGGGGCAGGGGGTGCTAAGAATCTCCGGTGGAGGTTCGGTTGCCACCTTAGACCAAAAAATCAAAAAAATCAAAAATCGTTTATTGCGTTTCAAAAGGTAGTAACAAACAAGTGGCAAGGGCCCCTGTACTGGGTTGGTAAAACCTGTGTTACGGGGTACCCCGCTCTTCCAACAGACAAATTTTAACAATTTGAAACATAGGATATTACATATTATATAAGTGCTTTAACAAGTAAATTTTAGATACTTAAGAAAGATTGAAAGTGTATGTGTGTGTGTGTGCGTGTGTGTGTGTGTGTGTGTGTGTGTGTGTGTGTGTGTGTGTGTGTGTGTGTGTGTGTGTGTGTGTGTGTGTGTGTGTGTGTGTGCGTGTGTGTTTAGCAAATAAGCAGTTCTGTTTCTTCATAATTGAGGCTAAGCAGAGTTGTTGTTAACAAATTTTTCAATTTAACACAAGTGAGGGGATACATATTTAGCCTACTATTTAATTTATTATATAGATATTTTGATTTACAGGCAAATTGTCTTTTCTTAAATTTGGTTTTACAATATGGAATATTGAAAACAGGTAGAATTCTACGTTTTAGTGTCTGAAGGGCAGTGTATGGTAAAGTGCTGTGGGTTCGTATAACACTCTTTAAAATGTACATTTGGCGGGTTGTTAAGATTTTGTAAGATTTGTGTAGTTCGTGAGTTGAGAAACGGATTGGTTTAAAGAACATCACCTTCAGTAATGCTCTCTGAGCCCTTTCAAGAGTTATTAAATAGGACTTAGCTGCTCCACCCCATGCTGTAATGCAGTAGCTTAAGACAGATTGGGCTAGAGCTTTATACGTACATATAAGAATTTTATTATCTGCGACATGTCTGAGCCTTTTAAAAACCCACATAAGCTTTCTTATCTTGTCAATGGTACACTCAATTTGTTTGTTCCATATAAGATGCTGGTCGATAGTGATACCTAGATATTTGATAGTAGACGATCTAGCAATATCAACACATTGACAATTTTTCACCTGGTGTTGGGAGCAGCTATGAATTTTAAGAGCAAAGTCCGAGTATGGTAAGTTAGATTTTCGTATCACAAAAGGAACAAATTGGGTTTTTGATACATTAAGAGTTAATAGATGAGATCTTAAGTAATTTGATATATGTCGTAATCCTGATTCAGTCGTAATTCTAAGAGAATCCCAACTCTTTTCACTGAAAATCAGGGCGGTGTCATCCGCATATGTAAATATATCACAATTAGGAAGTTTGAGGCTACAGAGGTCATTCACATATATCAAAAACAATGTCGGTCCGAGCACACTGCCCTGTGGAACGCCGTAATTAATGGGAGATGACTGGCTGATAATGTCACCAAGTTTTAAATGTTGTAGGCGATTCGTTAGGTAGTCTGTGAATAGCTTATGGGGTGTCCCTCTTATGCCAATGTGATATAACTTATCTAATAATATTGGAATTGAAACCGAGTCGAACGCCTTTGCCAGATCAAGGAAGACGCCGACACATTTACTGCCTGCATCTAGGTGCTTACAGATAGTGTCGGAAAGTGCCAGAACTGCGTCTTCAGTGGACACGCCATTTCTGAAGCCAAATTGATTATTTGATAGCAGGCTGTTTTTGTAAAGGAATTTTTTAATGCGGTTATTAATAAGCTTTTCCAAAATTTTGGCCAGAACTGGAAGTACAGAGATAGGCCTATAATTTTCAATTTCATCTTTATTTCCACTTTTGTAGATGGGTGTTACAATAGCTTCTTTGAAAACAGAGGGGAAACAGCCTTTTT